TCTTGATGAAATGAAGAAAACAGCAAATAGCAATGCTAAACAGGTAAGACCACGTGTTTATTTGTTCCTAAGCCACAGGATGGTTTAGTCCACAGCTTTAAGAGATGAAAGGTGCAGGTGGGTGTTGTTGTTTCACTCTGATCTCACACAAACTCTCTCAGGCAGTTATTTCCAAGGCAAAATTCCCAGGTATTGGATGGTATTTTAGTTACAGCTGTCAAGATGATGTGCCACAGTGAGAAATGGAAATGAAGACAATAAATGTTTCTACATCACTGAAACAAACAAACAGGAAAAAAAATAAGAGAGATGAAATTCTTCTTTAATTAGGATCATTAGGGAGTTCTTCTTTTCTTGTGTTGAAGGAAATAACATTTCAAAGGTTAGGAAGTAATAAGCAGGTCTATGAAAGGAAATAAATTTTTTTAAAAGAAGCAATGAAAATGAATAATTTTAGACTTGTGAGTAACTGTAAGGACAAGGGACATCAGGTGGGGTTATTTGTGCATAATGTGGGACTTCCATGCACAGCAGCACAAATTAAATGGAAGAATTTGAACTGAGGTAGGTAAGTAACAGAATACACTCTCAAGAAAGCTGCCAGAGAACTTATTCTGTGTTCTGTGCTGTATTCCTTTGTAGATTGCTTTGTATGGATGATAAGGTTCAAAAACTATATGGGTTGTGATGTTTAGTGTTGAACTGGGCTATTGTGCTGATACATTGCTTCTCACCTCCATCTTTGGGTAGAAAATTGGTCAATTTTTGTATATTTGCTGTTGGCAAAAGGCATAAAAATTGGTGTTCTCCTAAACTGCTCATGTCCCTGTATTAGAGAGTATTTTGATCTTATTTTACAAAAATATAATTGCCAAGGACTAGTCAGTGGTCTGAGCAAGTGCCCTGTTTGGAAAGCAGCAGTGATAATGGAGGTAGATACAGCAGTGCACAAATTATCCTTCATTCTTTCTTCTCTGGGATTAGGAACTTTTACTGCTGGAAGCATGAGCTGTTTGGCATTATGTGCACCTTCTTGCTGGTACATGGAGAGAATGGGGTGAAGTATTTCAATTCAGGGATTCCAAAAATGCCTTTTCCTAAAGTACAGAGCATTCTGTAAGATCAAATACAATTCTAGGGTAATGCTGTTTCCTCTCAGATTATTAACAATACTTTCTTCTTCTGAGTAGTTTGCTTTTAAATCCTGTTGAGTAGATACTACACAGATGGTGACAAAGGACTGAAGAAAGAATTGGTAACTATGAGCTGTTCTTGATTTGCTTTCAAAACCAGGAGGTGTGTAAATTGCTTGCTTTCTCATTTATTTGCCCAGGTGATTGAATGGGTTTTGGAGAAGACCAGCAAGTAGAGGCACTGGGTGGATTCTGTTCACACCTTCCCAGGAGCTGTGGAGACAGAGCACTTCTGACTTGAGAGGCATTATACTGCCCAATGCACACACAGATCTGCACACTGGGAGGACTTTGGTCAGTGGAGTTATATAGACTCATTCTTCAAGCACAGGAGCAAGGTTGAAAACTTTTTATATTGCAAGTTTTTAATTTTTTTTAAAAGTCAAATGAAAAGAGGTTGTATTTTATATGTATTTATTATGTTTGTTAAAAGGAATATGGCTTGACTTGGTTTATAAAGCTTTGTATATTTTTCAACAAGTGTATTTGGTTTTTATATGAATAAAACCCCCCACATATTTAATTTTGATAACTACTACTTTGTTTTTCCTTTTTGTGTGAAGATCTCTATTCTACTTCAGCTAGCTCTTGTATAAACAGCTGTTTACAGCATCAGCCATTGACAGTGTATATACTAATTAAGAAAAGTTCCTATTCTTCTGCAGGTAAAAACAAACACAATCAGAATTTGACTCATAATTATCTCTGTGTTGTAATATAGGGAAGAAAAAAAAGCATGGCTTGAAACTTGGTGCAATGTCCCATTAAAGAAAGTTTCTTTGTTTTACAAGCTGAATTTTCAGTATAATTTCCTGCATGCTCTTTGTAACACTCCTTAGAAAAATATCTAAGGAGAGGTCTGAGATTTCTTTTCCTGGAAGAGGAGAAAATCAAAGCAATAGTGGTAATGAGGATGGTGAGAGCTGGAAAAGGGCTGGTGTGCTATGCTGAAATGTAAGGAAAAAAGAGTTTCTAGCTGTGTTGCAAACACAGTAAAATACTAAATTTGGCCTCAGTTAGTTTAAGTCTCTGGCATGTACCTGGCTGGGACTAATGTAATTATTCAAGTTAGTATTTTGTTGAGCTGAGGAGTTCCTATTAAGCTTTCTGTATTAAGGATTTCCTATTTATCATATAAACTAACAGGATTAAAACTGATAGAGATGCAGGGCTATTGTTTGCTATATTATCCTGAAAGGAAAATAGATTAAGCAATACAAATATAAATGAAATGTAATGTTGTGAAAAAATAATCGAACTAAACCATGTGGAGGTTAGACTTAATACTGTAAAATCGATGCTTTCTCTAAAGAGCCTTCCTGATTTGGGGACATTATTCTTTGCTTAATTCTATTTGGTGTAAAGCTAAGCCCTTAAGGAGGTTTTTCATGTCCAACAGGATCTTGAGTTCAACTGTTCTGTTCCTTTGTTCCCAAGTTTACCAGTCCTGAACTCTACAAGACCTTTCCTGGGTGGGTGTGTACTTGGTTTCACTGACCTGCAACAGGAGAGCTCTGAAGTTGTTCTGCTGTGACAGTGGGCTCTAGTGAGTACTGTGTGCATCTAAGCCCAGGACAAACATAACTCACTTGTAAGATGGATTTCATTTGTCTGCAAAATGCCACACATCCACAGCATCCCAGTTTTAGTGTTTGGTGAAATAGAAATGAAATGAAGAGAGTTATTTAAATAATCATTTAATAAGTGCATGCACAGAATTGCTCCAATGTAATGATTACTGTGTATGGCTCACATTTCTTTGCATTCATTATAAAAACAAGAAAGTAATCAAGACATTAACCTTTCTTAACATCTTATAGTGAATCAGGAAAGTCTCTACTTCCAGAGAGAGAAAAGCTGTAAGCTGTAGCCTTATCTCTTCAGCCTGAATGCTGATACTTTTGTCTGAATACTAAAGCAAGCCACTGAAAGTTGTATTTTCTACTTAATTTTGGGAAGTTTATATATTTGTAATTAGAAAAACTTTGTAGTTAATAATAATACATAAGTTGATAAGTAAAAGTACAGAAGCTCTACATTTCATAAATCCTTGAGGCTAGCTGCAATGAGCAAAGAAAATACCTTCAGGAAAGTAATTAATACTTTGAACTGGTTTTCTTGTACTTCAAGTAGAACCCAATGGTTATTGGTTTAATTAATTCTGTAGACTCAAAGACTGGCCTGAAATAATCAGCAGGAAAGCAGTTAGGGAAGCATAAGCATTTTGATGTATTGGTTTTCTTCACAATTCCCAGTGCAGAACTAATACACTGCTACCCATGTCTCATTTGCTCTTTGTGTTAGTGGCTTTTTAGGACAAGTGGTAGCTGGTTTATTATTATGGCTTAATTACACTGTGCCCCATTTCAGCTGTGATAACTGTCCCTGTCCATGCTGTTTACCTACAAAAATGTAGGCACAATAATTTGATCTGGTCCACTGCAACAGCACTTAACCAAATTATTTTACATCTGTCATAGTTCCAAAATCCCACACTGAGAGTTCCTGCATCTTGGCTGATATGCTGTAACTGAAGTGATGCAGAATGTAACATCACCCTTTGCCTCTGAACTTCAAACTATTTTGTTGTTTGTGGCTGCTGAACCCCCCAAATCAAGTCTGCTCTATGCATATTTTGGGTGCTTGCTTTCATGTTTTTGCAAATCAGGATATAAATCAAATTCACCAGTACAGATTTCTGGTTTACCCACATAATCCATCCATCTATATAACAAGCACATAACATAACATAGCATAGCATAATAACATTATGCATTGTATGTAGAAGCACATTATCCATCCATGTTATGTGCTTATATTCCCCACAGGATTGGGGTAAAACAGCACTGATGTGGTTGCAATTACTTGGTGATATGATTACTTATAATATTACAGCAATTAATTTTAATTACATGGTGAGTATCACTGGGCTACCACAGAATTTAGCTTGGGTACTAACGCTTGTCCAAATCCACTTCTTTGTCCCAGCTCACAGTTCTCCCTTGGAATTTGTTTTCTGAATTTGTTTCCTAATGCCTCTAATTATTTACACAAGCACAGAAATTCTGATGAAGGGAAAAAAATGAATAGCTAATCCCATGTGGGAAAAGCAGGTGATTATGTTCAACAGGAGGTTATCATCTCTGTTAAATATTAAAAAAGTTTTTCCCATCATTCTTTTAAATGAAAATTTTGCAAGCATATTACTAATATCTGCTCTTTAAAATTGATGTCACCACTGAATTCAAAAGTGTCCATAATATACAGTATGTGTGTGTATATATATATATATATAAATGTGTAATACATACTGTATTAATGGTCTCTCTATATAGTAAATAGATTCAGTAAATAGCTAGTTATCAATCTGCCAGTTTGACTTTTATGGAAAATAACATAAATTTAGAAATCAATGGTAGTGTAATGATCTGGAGCACATAATTTCTTTAGGCTCTGATTCTGCTTCCACTGAAACCAAAGAAGCTCCAATTAAGTTTTAAGCATGAGTAAGAGGACACTGAGAATGCTCTCAGGTGGCAATCAGATCAGTCTCCCCTTCAGACCAGCTGAGCTTCCCGATGCAAAGAGCTGGGTGGAGGAGGGTGCTGCCATGTCCTGTGGGAGGAAGAAATTCTAACATTCTGCAGAAGGAAAACACTTGTTTTGTTACTTGCAAAGGATCAATTCTAATTTTGTGGTGGTGATTTGCTTGGTAGCACGTCAAGAGTCTTGTTTTGATTTCTAAAGTACCTTAAGAGAGATTCTGGTTCCATTTGAAGGACAGGACTATTAGAAACACCAGTATGATTCCCTGAACACAATCAGATCAGCTTTATTTTTTTTTAACAAACACTTTACATCACATTTTTCCAATAACATTTTTGCTCCAATATGTATCCCAATCTTTCTCATGGTGAAGCTGCTATACAAACTTTCTGATAAGACCATTCCATTTATAGTAATTATTTTGTGAAAAGAGTGAAACTCTGGAATATCCCTTTTTAGGCTTTCCACAAGGCTGTTCTGTCGTAACTTGGGTCAGACTGAAAGAAAAGGCTTAAATTCCCACAGTTAGCTTTTCTATTTGGGCCACTAAGTTAAGAATTAAATCAAAGGAGAAATAAAAATATTGTTTTCCCATAACCATTCATAAGAGAAAAAAGGCACATGTTGGCCTCAGTCCTTGAATGCAGAAGATTGAGCAGAAATTTCTGCTTTTTCTTAATTTTTTGTAAGTCTTCTGTTACCACCTAGTCCAGTATTAAGCAACAAGAGAAAGCACTGCAACTTCAGCAGACGTGTCTGAATGACCTGCCCTGAAACATCCCTGTGGGATTTCAGTCTTTTTTTTTTTTTTATTTTAAATTTTTAAGTCATTCCACCAATGCAATTAACAGTTCCCTCCAGTAACAGAATTCTTAACAGAAGCACTGAAGTTTAAATGTATTTCTCCTAGCCCAAAACCAAAGGTCAGCCTTCCAGATAGTTTGTCTGGATACAAAGTAAGCTCACGTCACAAAAATCCAATAAATGACTTTATTAAATATATTCTTTTCCTCTAAAATATAAATATTCACTATACTCTTATAAATGTGGAGTAGGTTCATATTTCATTTGTCTATCCCATCCAAATATGAATCAGTCCAAAATCTGAAAATGAAGAAATAGCATCTGTAATCATCATTAATTTTTTTCTATAAATATATATAATATGAATTTTCTTTGCAAACTGCTTAGTTATTCACTTAGACTTCATATAGTACTGAGCACCTTAGATTACATTTTGTGTAATTTAATTGTTGGCACTAATATAGGAATTTGTAATATTTACAATGCACATACATGTTAGGCATAACATTCCAGTGATTTGTAAGTGTTAAAAGGAATAAGGAAATAGTGCAGTATAGTTTACATATGGATTTAACCTACTCCTCCAGCACTTTTATAGGAGCCTATCTCCAAATTTTTAAGTTGTACTTTGGAACAGCAATAAAAATGTCCTGAACTGGTTTTTAAAGACTTGACACAAGAGCTTCCTTGGTAAGGTGACACGAGCTCCTCTCAGAGTCCTGTCCCCCTGCGTACCGATGCTCTCAGCTTCTCAGATCTCTCCTAGAAGCTCCCAGGCACAAGGAGTCCCAAGGAACTGCCACAGAAAGTGTGTGACTGGCAGTGGTCACTAAATGAGAAATGTCCATCTGGAAACTACTGCTAAGTTAGGTAACATGTTACCTCCTTGTTCATTTACATGAGGAATTAATTTTTAAGTGCAAGTACCATGACAATAAAATGAAAGTGCAGAGCTGGGTGGATCTCTCCCTGGCATGCCTGTGACTGGTGAGAGGTCCTGGGAGTGGGGCAGCTCTTCCAATGGGGCACTGAGCTGTTCTTCAGTGATTATTTTCTGTATTTATTAATTCAGCCCATCATCCTAATATTTTAATTTGTTTTGATGATTAAGATACCTATGGAATCACCATGTTTTTATGCTTTGAATAGACAACATGACTTATGCTTAACTCTCAAACTTAGCTCAGAAACAACATGGAACCAAAATGTCTTTTTAATTTTCTCCTTTGCCAGCCAAGTGATGCTGAATTGAAATCCATGTGCTTTCTCAGGATTAAAAGAAAAGTTGTAATATGAAAACTGAACATCCACAAACACTGAATATATTACTTCCTGTCCTTCAAAGTGTGAATTTAGGGCAAAACTCTAAAAACAGACAAAACCCCACCCCTGTCTGAAGCTGTTCTTTTTAAAAAGGAAGAACAACATAAGTGGCATCCCTGTTTTGCTTCTTCCTATTCCCACCAGATCATGTCATGCCAGTTTATTATTTCCCGGTATGGGCTGTGTGTGTCATCTCTGGTGCTGAAAGTCAGTGTTCCTGCCTGCTATTTGCTGCTCAAGTAGCTGTGAACAAGGCTGAAACTCACTGAATCGTGTTTTGAGTCACAACAGTAAGCTGTGGTGCAAAACAGTCACCAGTAAGGTATAGGCTTGTATTTGTATTTCCCCAGCAAGAACCCTGGTCTTGCCAAGTCATGCCCATAGGAGCAGTTCCATGTCAAAGAGTGCAGCTCATGTTCCTGCCCTGGTGTATGTTCCTCACTGTTGTGGAGCTGCTTCAATAAATTTTTCACAAACTCATAAAATCAAGTCTTCCTATGTTTGTTATTCTACAAAGACCACACAATCAGCCTTGTCTGAGCAAAGGGGGGACTCAGTAGGGGTAGGAGGACAGAATCTTAGTATGGCTTTCTACTGGAAAACTGCCATGGAGATAACCTGGCAGGAGCATCATCCTACCTCAGAATGGATTCAGGCAGCTTTTACCTGAGCTGGGGCTTCCAGATACCTGAAACTAATTAAGCTGTTGGGAAGTCACTATAAAAATGCATCCTGTGTTCATTAACAAAGGGCCCTCCTGCCTGTGCCCCCCTGACAGCTGGTTCTCAGTAGCATCCCTGTGGCTGGTCCTGCTTTAGCTCCATCACTAGGGATGTGGGTGACGTGGTTACTGCTTCATGTGAAACTGCTCCTGGGAGGGGCCCTCCAGCTGTTAGCTGCCCACAGCTGGATTGCTTCAGAGTGTCCACCTCAAAGGTTTGTATTTGCAGGCTCTGCTGGGTATTCACACAACAGGTTCTGGCAGTGCTCCAAAAGAAAAATCTGCAAGAGGTGCACAGATTATAACTGAAAGAACCTTTTACTTCCAGGCGATGGGACAATTTTTAGAGGATTTCTCCCCAACCAACCTTGGCTTGCATCACAACCAACAAGTGCTTGACTGCATAGCCCTTTACTTTATATAGACAAGTACATTGAAATAGGCACAATTTATGCTTCTGAAACATTTACATGTATGGTACTACACACTTTTACGGTCTCATATGGGATTTCAAAATCCCATTTACAATGAAATCCCCCCATCTTCCTTGTCATGCCATCTCTTTAGCTGGTCAAAATGAAACCTGGGCCTCAGAGGACTGCAGAAATGACCAATGGCCAGTCCCAGGCTGGTGTCTGCTGCCAGCTAGGACAGGTTGCTGCTGTTGACTGTACTTCAGATTAGTGTGGTTACCCCGTCTCTCTCTGAAGAAACAGATGGATCCCACTTATGCCACCAAGCCCAGTCTCGTGATCTTTGCTGACAGGAAGGAATGAATGATGAAAACAACTGGTTTTGGACAGGAATGAAGATCCAGTTGCTGAAAGTACAGAAAAAAGAAAAAATCAAGCTGAGAAATATAGCTCAAACAAGAAATCATTTATTGAGTACTCAAACTGCTGTCTGGTATTTTGAACAGGCTTCTATAAATAACAGCTCTTCTCTACACCATATTGTTGCTCCTTTGCATTTAGCTGCAACTATTTAGGTTACTAAAACTAATAAGCATCTTGGAAGCAGGTGAGATCTTGATGCCTCTGGCTTTTTATCACCTGGGTGAGCAGCAGAAAACTGAGTCAGATTCTGCAAGCACTTTTTCAAGAGGCTTAACCCCATCTCTTTTTGGCCATTTCTACCTGGGATGGTGGTAGGACTGGCTCTGATGCCCAGTGCATCTGCTGTTGGTGCAGCTGAAGTACCTTCAGCCAGTGCTGCACAGCTGCTTCTCTGTTCTCCCACCCAGCAGTGACACTGAACTCAGACTTTGTTTTCCATAGTCATGGTTCAGCTGATCTCACCAGGCATTTGCTAAGCATGACAGGCTTGTCAGTGTGCAGAGTCACATCAAAACAAACCACGTTCGCCTTTTGTAGTCGCGCATTCTGCCCTGCTCACTCCTTTTTCCAGGCTGCAGTGCAATCTGAGAAATGCTCATTAGGCCTTGGCCTTGAAAAGCAGCACCTGGGCTCATCCCTTCTAGAGCTTATCAGAAACACTGTCTGCTCCCAGGAACTACTGCTGTCTAAGGAGTTCTTGTTTTCTTTATGAACAACCTTGGAAACTGTTTTCCTTGCCTGGATGGCACATTCCTGTTCCCACACTTTCAAAGAAAGTCCTGACCCGAAGTGTGGCCAGGACAAAACATTGTTATGACTAAAGCTGACTCTTTAGTGCCCCTATAAACAGCTGTCCAAAATGAGACCCTTTGAGCTCTCCTGAACTGCAGCAGGCTGTGACCAGCATCTCCCTCTGAGTGGGGCCTCTCAGAGTCAGTGAACTCTCAGGTTTGCTGTACTTGGAGGACCACCAAACAACAAGTCCTGGATTGGTACCCTCACTCCTCGAGGCCTGACCCTTTCCTGTTGGGACATGCAAAAGCATCCAAAGTGAGTGCTTCCCTGACCTCTGAGGGGAATTTTTCACAGGTACATTTCTTGCACTGACTCCTTCTGTCTGTGTGCATGCACCTGTGTATATGCTTTAGCAAATCTGGGAGACATGCTGTTTTCTTAAGATGTTTAAGAACCTTAGATATCTCAGTAAGTTAGGCCTGTAAGGAAGATTAAGTCATAAGCTGTAAGCTAAGTTAAAGGCTGCTGAATGTTATTCTTCTCTTGAGCTGCCAAGTTCAACTTTGAAGTCGTAAGTTAGGTTAAATGCTGCAATTCCTTGGTTAAATTGTTAAGTTAGGTATAAGTTAAGTGTTGTTCCTTTTTTAAATTGTTAGGTTTAAGGTATAAGTTAAGGTAAAGTACTGTAAGTGAGTGCTCTTAAGTTTTTAGGCCATGTTCCTTTTTATCCTTGCCTTCACTGTCCTTTTGATATGCACACCTTAACACACACACAAGCCCCCTAGATGGTTCTCAGTTCATTTCTGTTTTGATTGCCTGGATTTTGATTGCTTGGTTTTGTTGCTGCTTTGTTTCCTTGGTGTGCCTTAATTGTCCTGTAGGCAGTAAAGTGAATCTTGCCAACAAACTCTGTCATGCTGTTGCTAAATATTAAATCTGTTTTTTGCTGATACCCTTGCTGGTGATTTTTTAAGCAATCTCAAACACTCATTTGTAACACCTTTCCAGCAGTCATGAATCAACTTTATTGACAGCTAGTAAGAAATTCCCTTCAAAGCTGACAATAAGGAGTTTGCAGAGTATATGTTAACAAAGATGATGTTTAGAATTAAGTACCCACCATGTTTAGGAACTGCTAAAAAAATCTGGGAGGAAAAACTATGTTTACATTCGTAATTAATGGATTTAAACTGCTCATTGGAATATGCACCTTATTTTCAGGCATTGTGACAGCTTACAGGCCTATGCAGACAGTTTGCACAACATCTGTAGCTTTTTTTTTTAGCAATGTTCAAAATCACCTAAAACATAGCTTGTTGTCACAACATGAAGTCCCTATGTGTACATTGCAATTAATAAGGTCTCATTCTTAAGTTCTTTCACCCTCAATAATTTAAAAAAGTGAAATGGATACATACAAAAATTTTAACATCTGGCTATTTAGAGGTACAGTTTGTTCTAAAATTTGACAAACTTTAATTTCTGTATGGTTTTACAATTTTAACTGTCTTTTTAGTTTATCTCCTTCTAAAGCCTGATCATCGTGCTGTGCTATATACTGGTACTGGAACCTGGCACTGGCCAACTGTTGGAATGGAACAGAATGGAATAAAGTTTTCACTTGGGAGGGGCCTACAGTGCTCATCTAGTCCAACTTCCATTAGTGCTTCTCCACCCCCATAGCCTGCAGGACAACCAAAGAAATGGTAACATGCATCCCTTTGCTCAATGAAGTACTTACAATTTCTCCATCTTTTTCTCCAAAGTCTAAATAAAGCATCCGTATCCCATCATCTGAGGACATTTTCAGTTTTTCATAGGGATATTGTGCAATTATCTTGGAGAAGGCACCATCTTGTGGTTCAGTTGTAAGAGAGAATCCATGTTCATAATGGATGGTCAAGCGGCACTCCTGGTTTTTGTATGTGCAAGCTGGAGAAGAAAGATTTAGTCAAGATTTAGTCTCTCACATTCTTAAAAGCAGTTCTTCATGTTCCATCATACATCTACATGCTGACAAAAACCAGTGTACTGAAGTTTAAGAAGGCTCAGACTGGTGTTTCCTCCTTCCAAACCTTGACAAAGTCACAACAATTCTTCTTCTTGCATCTGACAGACACAGCCTGAATCAATAAACACAGCACACAATGCATGAGAAAATTAGGAGCTGTAAAGTGTTTCCCTAAAGTATTTTGACAAAGATGAAGACACTCCTGAGTCCTCATTAGTGTCATGGTAATTGAAAAAGGGCCCAGATAATTGTATATAATAGCTACTGCAGCAGTAAGTCTGCATCTTCCCCTCAGCTCTGGAACAGAGGCCATGATCCAAATTAAGGAATGAAGAGTTTTGGAGTTCACATCCCAAATTTACTATTCCATCACCTTCTTGGAGCAATTCTACCAAGAAGGATCCTTGGCAGTGGGACAAAAGCACTGTGATAAAAGAAGGGGCTGATGCCCTTCTTCTTTTGGAAAGAATGGCATCTGTGTCAGGGTACTGAGGAGATGGACCTGTTCTGGACCTGAGCTGGTTCCCCCTGAGCTCTCTGGCTGGTTTGCACATCAGAGGCCTCACAGAGCATCCTGAGCTCCCTGTGGGGCTGGGGCCCAGCAGCTGACAAGCAGCCACGTGGCTCTACCTGAGCTTTGAGAAACAAGAACTGCCCTTTGGCATGGCTAGATTTGTGCTTTGGCTCCTGCTCTCACATTTCAGGAAATGAGTGGAGATAAAATTCAACATTAACAGCCCTGCCAACTGTAGGACTAGCAGGGGAAGGACTGCAAAGCCTGGGGGCACCCAAGAGAAAGGCCCAGCCTCAAACCCCAGAGCCACGCCAGCCTTGCAGCTACCTGGCCAAACAGGGCATCACTCCAGAGTATCTGAGCCAAGTATTTGTATTCCAATTGATTTTGCACGTACAGAAGTGCTGAGAAGTGACACCCTGATGTTCAGGGAAGGAAATTACTACCCATCAAAATGTAGTTATTAGACTGGTTTGTGGTTTTTTACTCTCCTCTATTGTGTAGAGCTGGGTCAATAAATGACCAGTTCATTCTTGTGAATGTGCCAGTCCTCTTCTGTCTCCTCCTTCTGCAGGAGAAACTCCTGCTAGGCTCACAGGAGTTTCCTGAATCTCAGAAAAATGCTCTTTTCTGTGGGTTTCTGGATAAACCTCTGACAATCACTCCTCTGTGACATGCAGGCCTACATGGCTGACTACAGAGTTGTTTCTGATACAACGTGCTGAAAACAAACCCAAAAGTTCAGCATGACAATGAGTGTGTCACTGGACACAAGTACCACAGCAGCTGGGACTGGCCCAGAACCTGGACAGCATTTTAAACAGGTAGAATCCTAAACATGCACATTTTTTAAGTAAATCACCTCTAGCAGAAGGAACTTGAACTTGTGTCACAGGAAGGGTGTGGAGGTGTGGAAATGCTGCAGGTGTTACTCACATGTGGTGATTTCTGTGATGAGCTCTGCAGAGTTGTGGCAGCCCTGCACTACACTCCTCGTCCACAGTGAGAGGTCTCGACTGGTCTCAGTCCTGAACAGGTGAGTTTCAATCCCTTGTCTTGTACCGGTACGCGTTGCAAAGGACAAATCCACCCCTGACTTGGGTGAGCCTTTCCCTGGGCCAGAATGAACCAACCTGCAATGGGATTTGAGAACACATCAGGAAATTCCAACAACAGTGCACTGCCCCAGAATCCCCACCTGAGTACAGCTCTGCTCTGCATGTTCCTAATACCCGTGGTTGGAAGCATGAGAACTCACATCTCCTCTATGTTCTCTCTCAGAAGAGTGAAGGTCCAAGGCGGTGAGCACAGGAACAGCTGGACACACAGGTAATGACATGGATGTCCCAAAATTACTTAATGAATTGTACAAAATGTCCCTTTGGATGAGGAGCTGAGAGAAATCCCTGACTGGTGTGTGGTGATGGAATCTGGTCCACAGATACAAGTGCTGGGCTCAGATGAGGCAGCTGAATCCAACTTCCATGGTGAAGCAGCATTTGCTCTAAAGTTTAAACATCTGCTGTCAAATTCAATGATAAATACTGCTGAATAAAGTATGAAGCTCTGTAAAATATATAGATGCCAAAGTACTGTCTTGTACTTACTTTTCCCATAAGAAACCTGTAAAATGCAAAATGTGGCAGCTACTTGTAATCTGAAATTCTCTCACATTTGTCTGCAATCAACATTTTTTTGCCCAGCATCAACAGCTGATCTCCTGTGGCCAGGAAAGGTTTGTTCATCTGGGCAAACAAAAATAGCAGGGAATATTTTTGAGTGAGAAAATCAATATCTCATAAAAATTAATTCTTCTTTAAATCTGCCCTTTTATGTTGGTTTTTTTTTCCCTCTAAAAGTATGGACACTCAACACAGGATTCACTTAGGGACACAACACTGATACATCTGAAAAAAATAATCTAGGGGAGCTCATCACTCTGAGACTCAGAGACCAACCCTCAGAGGCAATCACAAAATGAAATTTGTCTGAAAAACTTCTTTCTGTCTTGTCCCTTCTGTTTTTCTTTCTATAGCCAAACAATATGCTTCATAGTAGTCTATAAAGCATGTGGCATGGTAGTAGAACACTCATGCTAAAGGAGAAAACATTAGATTAAACTAATCTACTGAATACTAATTTACCCTCAAATTATTGTTTGGCATCTGCAAGAACAGTTACCTGTAGCTGACACTGTATGAGTATGCCACCAAACAGAGATGTTTTAGTAGAAAAGAAAAAAGCAGAAAGGAAAGCAAAAGCACAACTTTAGCTTTTCAATTATTGAAACACCAGCCACAGGGCATCTGAAATTTCCCCCAATTCCCTGACAGCCCATGCTGACATTTGGGATGCACACTGTGGCAAACAGATGCACCCCTCTTTCATACCCCACTAGAAGGTTTGCAAGATTTGTTCATTCTCAAGTTCATGGAAACTTTATTTTATGTTCCCAAGAGCTCCTGGGAGGCGAGACACAGAATATCCTGGTCAGAGATGCCCTGCCCTGTGTCTGGGCACAACAAGAAGGGCTTTTTCCCCTCTGGAAAAGCTGAGTTAATGCCCCACTCAGCTTTGATACTCAGGGCCTCCTATCTCTACTACTGGCAGATTTTGCAATCAGGGACTGAGTGGCAAACAAACAGCCCAAAAACTTTAATTCTCTTTCATTTGGTGTGAGAGGGTGCAAACTCTGAGGGGAAGCTAAATGTTGATAATTAAGGCAGGAATCAGGGAGCTGAAATCTCCAGTGACATCTGCTGCTGTCTGTCCCTGGGGGGTCGCCCAGGCACAGGCACGGCCACTGCTCTCATGCTGCCTTTGGCTACTGGGCTGTGAAAAAGCAGCCTGGAAAAGCACATCAAGTTTGTCATTAGAAATAAAACTATTTCACCTTTTTCCTGGGCCATCTCCTTTATGCAGGGCTCATCAGCTATACTAAAAATCATTTTCTATTACTTATGTTACTGAATACATAACAAACAGATGGTTCCAGTGTTTGATTTCCTTCCAAAACACACAGCACCACCACCTACTCCCCCACACCTTCATGCTGTATCCATAGTACTGTATTGTGGTTTTTCAGCATATGCATAGAATGAAGATGTACTTTACAAATTAAAGTATGTGAACACATCCAACATGAACATTGATTCTTGCCTGCCTTTTTTATTATCTCCTCATTATTAAAAATCCAGTCTCACTATTTAAAAATGCTTGTCCATCAAGCAACTCCAGATGATGCTTTGAATAGTCATGCCCTTAAACATGAACTAAGCAAACATGCAGGAGGACATTTGATAGTATTAATGTACCAGCTGTCAGTACTCATGTATTTGGGTATAGTTCAAAGGATGCTTTAATAAAGTTGCATTAATGTGGGCCATTTCATTTACACAGTATGTATTTTATCCTAAAGACCACAGAGATACCTTAAACCACAAAAAATAGCCTTAGAAACCTCACAGAAGGCTTCCCCTCGCTCCTGCCTCCCATCACTGTAACCGCAGGGGAGGGAGGGGTGTGTGGTGTGTGCTGCACCCCAGAGCTGAAGAAGCACTCCAGGCCCAGCTCCGGTAATATTCACCCAAGCCCTGGGAGGTTCCTGTGCTCTGTGGAGGTTTCTGGGGGAATCTGTGAGCACCGGAGCCCGAGAGCCGAGCGCTCCTCCCGGCTCAGGCAGCGCCGCCAGAGGGCGGGAGAAGGCCGGGCACGGCCGGGAGTCCCCTCACCCCTCACGGAGCGCTCGGAGCGCAGCGGCTGAAAACCAACCCTGGGGCCAGGGAGACACTTCTGATCTTCTCTATTTCTCTCTTCTCTCTCTGTGTTTCGGGGGCCTTTTTAACCTTATGCTTTGCGAACGTGTGACAGCAAGATGGATGTGTTCTGACATGGGGTGCTGGTGCAGGGTGAGAAACACTGGAACCTGCGTCTCATCCTAATGCGATGGGAAGAGTGTCAACAATTTACTGCAACAGCCAGATCTAATGGTCTCTGCAGAAAGGCCAGTGAAACCAGCACTGGCATTCAAAGGAAGCCTTCAGCTGCTCACTTGAGATTTAGCTCAGAAGAGACCACGTACAAGTGCATCAACACTGTGAGAACACCACTGCCATCTGACCTTTCCTACGGCACCCTGACTTAGCATGTGAAACCTGCCCTGGAATGGCTGTGCTCCTCGGAAACCTGCGCACATTCTCTCAATTCATCTGCATGGAGGCACCCAGAGCCCGCCTCACTGCCTTGGGAAGACCAGCAGGGAACTTGCACTGCACCCCATACACTTCTTGGGGCTCTCAGGGCACCCAGTGCTCTCTGCCTGTCCCTCCATCCACTGGCCCAGATGAGTAATCAGTGCCCAAACTCTTTCCCCATTTTTTCTATGTCATTAGCTATCAAACTGCTTTAATACTTTCTGGTTACAGACCTCAGCTGTACACAAAAGCTTCTTACCTGATCTTTAATCAGAGCCCAACATGGGCTGCTTTTTTTTTTCCCCTTTCCTTTCATATCTGGCTATGATAGATAATGGAATTTGATTGCAAACATATAAGATGTAATTACTTAAGCCCCATTCCCATGCTAGAGGGAGGCACTGTTATTCAGGCATAAGGAAACACTGAAACAGAGATTATGACAAAAAGGTCCTTGGAGTCAGGGCTGTGTGCCAGCTGCCGTGCCTCCCCGCGCAGAGATTTAAAGGAACAACTAAAATCTGATCTCAGTTTTATTTGAGCTATTATTTGTATTCCATGCAAAGCTAGAAAAGACTGACTGGAAAATAATTTTAGGTCTTAATGGCTTCCATAGGTTGTAGGCAAACTTATCAACAAACAAGAAGGGCATGTAGAAATTTTGTTGTTAAAGTACTGTGAGAAGATTGTAATCCTTCTACCAATTTCCAATTTTCTCTGCTCATTATGTTTTGGGTAGATTAAGCATGACTCTGTACAGTATCTGGCACTGAAGTTTTCCAGTTTCAGCAGCTTTTCAAATATGCATTAGCTAAGCAAAAATGTTTTCCCAAGGACTCATAAAAATCTGAAAGATGGGAGCAGCTAAGATTACAACATGTGCTCTGCAAACTTTCCAGGTGAAAAGTTCTAAATTGCACTGATCAATGCACAGAGGGGATTAAAAAACTCGTCACGAGGAGGGGAATCACTGACCGAGAATGAACACAGCAGTCAATACCAACAGAAAACCTGCTCTACTTTTTTGCTATAACTGTACTCAGTGTGGCAGATCATAAAAGCAGGACCCTGCAGAGTTTTAATCAAAATCATCCAAAACAGGAGGTGTAATGATTTAGGGAATCTGTCCATTTATGGAATCTGCTGTATATGTGTACTTATCACATTGTGACTACGTTCTGAACTCCAAATTCTGTGTAGCTGCTGTCTTTTTCTCTGGGTGTTACATTCAGTGATAGTAGTAAGAAATCACAGAAATAAGGCTGGAATGGTTGTCAGGAGGTCACCCAGCAGATCCCCCTTCACAGAGCAGGGCTAACTGTGCTGTGTGTCACCCATCCTTCAATGTCCCCAGTAATGAGGATCGTACACCTTTCCCAGAGAATCTAAACCAGTACCTCACCAATTCCGTGCCACAAGTGCAGTCAACTATGTCCTGTTGTGTTCAGGAGGGATCTGGAAAAGATACTCCCCTGTTCTCCTTGTTTCTTCTCTTCACATCTGAAAATTATTGACATGTTTTCCATGGACTTCTCTAGATTAAGCTACTAAGGTTTCTTAAGTATTCCCCTCCTGATAGTGTTTCTATGTTACATATTTGCATTGCTTTCTTCTGGACCTTCCACAGTTAACTGGCATCTTTTTGGAAGTGCAATGCCTCTCATGAACATGGAGTATCACCCTAGGCTTTACTCCTTCTCTGTAGTTATGATTACTATATCTGCCCAAAATGAAACACTTCTGCTATAACCCAAGATGATTGTCTTCATTTTCCCCTCTCAAAAACACAACACCATAGATTGAAGCAATTTTATCACAGTGCTCGGGTGCTTCCTGGCAAAGCAACTACTTTGTTGCTCATATTCCACCCCAAAACAGCAGAGGTGATTATTCCCCAGCACTGAACTTGGCACCTGTCTTTTCTGAACTGCACCCTGGCTTTCTCACAGACCATCCTGGCTTGCTTTCTTCCCAGTCTGTAAAGACCCTTCAGCAGCCTGACACATGTGCCGTGCAACTTCTCATTCCTCTCCAGCATGAAGGCCAATGTTTTTCCACTCAGGAAAGCAGCCCATCCGACAAGGAGATGACCATCCCCACCCAAGGCAAGGCTGTCTGCTATCCAATGTGGCCTCTTGAGAAAAAATAATTTAAGTAACAGGGCCAAGATGTAGACTTAGATTATTTGATGCAGTAAATTGGTCTCACTGATGATGGGAGCTGGTGACACTCAGCAAGGAGTTGTCTTTACACATGACAGTGTGTGGCCAGGAAAGGGCAGGGTGCACTTCAGGATACCCAGTCACTTTAGGGAGGAATTGAGCTCATGTAAAAATGAAACCTTAAAAAAAAGGGGAGGAAATGCATCACCTTCTGCTGGGGTGCTATTGCTTCTCAATCTCTAAGGTGTGGTAACACAGCTGGACACAGGCTGCAATACTTCACCCAGCTTTCACTGGGACTTGTCACTGATGGAACACACCATCAGTGTAAATCAGTGAGTACAATTTTTATTTTTTTAACATAATGACTTAGCAGCAAAGCGTCAGTTCATTTGGGGAGACACAGAGAACAAAAATTAACTAATGAGAGTGCAGTAAGAGCCCCACTGCTTCTGGCCAGGGCAACCAGCCCTTCTGAATGAGAACTCATTGAAAATGGTATAATAGAGGCCTGTAGCAAGGCTGAAACAAGGAACAACAGCTCTTTCTCAAGCCTTTTGACCATACTGGCAGAGAAACATGATTAAGATTCACATCAAGAAGCACAGACAGTTTCCACTGCATAAAGGCAACCATGGGAAAGCTGTCTCTGAATTAGTGTTAATGGATACCTTCAAAATAATGCAAATGCTTATTGCTAACCTAGATTCAAGAATGTGTCTTCCAAGTTTACCATTTTAAGCTAAAAAATGCCAGGAATTAATTTACTAGAGCAGGAACAGAAGCTGTGCTGAAAGTGTCTCCATCACATGTGGAAACCTCCAAAAGGCCCAAATTGGTGGTGCAGAACTGCCACACCACAACATTCGACTCAGGGCAACAAGTTCACTTTTTTCAGCCTGGAGGAGCAGCTGGAAGTTGGGGTGTTTCTGCCTAGCTCACAGGTCTGCACACTGAGATAGGTATCTCAGGAGACTGAGCTTTCAGCTTTTGCATCACTCCTGCCTCTGTATCCAAGCTAAGTTGCCACATCCAAAATCCCAGTGAGTTTCTGGTTGTCAGCTTCAGCCAGAATTTGAAATGGAGGAGAAGAGAGGAGTTAAGCTCGGCACATCAGCCCACTGAAGAAGAACCTGCTTCTCCAACCACAACATTTCAAGTGTGACTGCAGCTGTGTATCAGCTCTACCTGCTCCTGGCTGACTCAGCTGCTCCCACTGCTCCTGAAAGCTGTCATGATTGAAAAGCAAAGGTACCTGGTGGCGAGCAGGGGGTAGGTATGCACAGGGCTGAACCAGGCTTCCTTTATCCGTGGCATGCTCTCATATATTAAAAGGTCTTTCTCTGTCAAAACCACCAACACTGGCTTCCAGTGCTTCTCGTTGTCTCCTGGCACCTGGAAAAGAGCAAAGTCTCAGTGAAACAAGAGGAGACAAAGCTGCCAGCATGCAAAGCCAGATGAGACAAACATGTTGAGTTCTGGGTGAGAAAATGAACACATGAGACTTTTACTTCCCTGGCTTTTTGACATCTCCCACCTGAATTTATAATCAGATGCAGCAGAAATGGAATAACGTGCAAAGTCATCTGCTGCTACCATTAGCACTGCCATTTCCAGCCTTCCTTCACTACAGGCTACTCCATAAATGCAGTATTGGAAGAACACTGAGGTGGAGCTGGCTGTTAGTTAGCTGTGGTATGCATGAAAAGACCTTAAAGGTATATTTATAATGAGCACCATTCATGTGTAGCTGGCACATTAACCTGAGTCCTGAACACTGCTGCTGCTGTTTCTGTTTAAAAAAGCTGCAACATCATCACTATTAAAGAAGAGTGATAGATAGCAAAACCAAGTGTTTTGGGGGTAGATACTTTTTTTCCTCAGCAGTTCACTTTTTTTTTTTTTCCTTCTCTTTCCTTCATACTATTCTTCCAGTTTTAGAAATGCCTTTGTAAGGAGATCCAACGTAAATGTGGGGTTCATCTCAAGCATTGACTTGGTAATGGATCTGTCTTCACATTTCAAACCTTTCTGTCAAAGATGTCCGAAGACCAGAGCATCAGAGCCTTTTACTGGCTGCAGAATCCAGATCTGGAATTATATTTTGCAAGTTAGATGTGTGATGTCCACATGGCAGGACAATTATTGTTATGGGGACCAAGTATGGATCCTGGTTTTTACTTCTTCTACTCTGGCAGCATAAAAGTGTCTTAAAATAGTTGGGGATATGTAAGGACTTTTATTTCAAGTAAGAATGAAGCTCTTTCACGGACAAACTAATCATTTTCCTTTTGGTGCACATAAAGAAAAAGAAACACTGGTCCACAGTAATACTCACATCCATGCTTTCAAACACAAACATCTTGCCTGGGTACTAAAAGGAATGAAACAAATTCTGAAATTCACCAGAGAATCTGCTTGTCTTTATGACTCCTCCACTAAAATCTCTTCTGGGATAAAGAAGCAGCTGTCTGTGCTGTTCTGTGGTTGATGCCAGTCTACTTGCCATGGGCATGTGTCACTGGGCACATTGTTGGGTGGAGAAACATAAAAGGGATCAAAGTTTGCCCAGGCTGGGAAAGACACACCCAGGTATGATAATTCAGAACCACATTTGAAACACTTGTATTTTATACAAAGACAGGCGCCCACAAATTTCTGAACTTTTAAAGGCTTTCAAGAGCAATGTGACACACCTTTACCTCACAACACAATGCCCAAAACCAGATCTTAAACTAAGATTTTTAATATGTATTTCTCCCTCTGAACTAACTTTTCCAATAATCATATTCCTGTTTACAGCATTACTTGCTCATTGGTTTTTCATGTCTCTTGAAGTCATAAACAGTTCATCCTTTCAAGTTCTACAGAAGCATTAATACTTATTCATAATTTTCTTGTGGTGACAGTTTCTTGAAATGAAATCATTCATTTTCCAATAGGGCCTAATGGAGAAGACACATAATTAACACACCTGTTACTACACTCAGGTAAGAATGCAAAATCCAGAGTTCTCACAGTCCCATACCATGAAAATATTCACATGAGCAAAAAGCATCCTCAGCTTCTTAATACCACAGCTATTAACTACAGTTCACACCCCAGGTCCTAGCGTTGCAATACAGAAATGAGTGTCACAGGTAACATTAACATTCAGTAAATCTTAGTGTTAATGTTTAATTTTGGACCACCTCACCTCTGTTCTTTAACTAGAAAGACTTTAGTACATACTTTTAAAGATTTCTAGAAAAGAAAAAGGAAGATAAATATGAAATTTCCACGACCACAAGCAATCTAAAGACTATGGGAAGCTGTTCACAGCTTTTCTGCAGAACCATCCTGCCTGTGGAGCATTTCCAATCACATGTTTTGTTATCAGGGGGCTGGTCAGTCAACAGTGACTTCAGAAACTTTGGGGAACAGTGTTCCCTGTAAAGCAATTACAAGAAAGAGAATAAAACTGATTTTGCCAGCTGGTCCCACAACTCTTTGCTGGACAGCTGTAAGTATTAGGAGACAGAATGTCCAGCATGAATCCTGAAGTTAATGACCTGCACTGTGAAGCCCACAGCTTTGCCTCAGTCCTTCCCAACAGCAGGGTGACTGTGGAGAATATGTGGCTTGGTCATAAGGTATTGAAGATTTTTCTCAAGAACAAGTGACCTTGCACTACCTCTCCTTGTGGGATGTACCCCTGGTTTGCAGGGTGTGCACTGGGAAGAGCTGAGGAGGCGAATGATGTTTGCCTGTGTTCTGCTCTGAAGCCCTCCCCAGTGAGCAGGGCCATGCAATGCACACACTTCTAAACACAGCTTTTAAACCTTACAGGGACCATAGCTGCCTCACTGATGAGGAATGCTGGTGTAAGCAACACTGCTGCTATTTCAGACCTGAAGAAGGATTTGTGTGCCTGAAAGCCTGTCTGTTTTTTCCCAACTGTAACAGCTGAGCTAATAAAAGATACTGCCTTTCCTTAAAAACCTTGAATTGCATCACTGTTCCCTTATTTTCTAGGGTTTGGATCAGGCTGTAACAGCTGATGCCATGCTGTTCAACAGGCAGTTGGCACTTCTGGAGGGTGTCAAAGAGAACATGCTGTCCTGTAAATGGTAATAGCAAATTTTACAAAGGAGGAAGATACCATTAGCCTACAGGGCACATTCATCACAAATCAGCATGGGAAATTAATCCAGATCTACATGAGTCATATCAAGCACTGATAAAATAGCAAATTACAAAACAAAAGCAATAAACGTGCTGCTTATGGGCAGCTAAGTGAAGGATTAATTCAAGTTTTAAAGGTTTTAGTATCTGACATACCATAAAGATAACATGAAATGCCTGTATATGAGTAAATTTAAATATAATTTGAGATACATTTTAGAGGCATGGTTTTAGATAATGATTAGGGCTAGCTCCTTAGCCAGAATTTTGCAGAGTTCTGGCACTTGCACTACAGTTTCTTCGCTCCAGTTCCCACTTGCACAAGTACAATTCAAAGTGCATCGATCTGTGTTGCAGACAAATAAAATCACCATCCAGTCTAAAAAAACTTTTCAAACTCAACCTTTTTTCAAAGTCAAAACTGTTAGATCAACTCTAGATGAACTACAGAAAAGTAAGTACTCCACAGCAAAATGAATCAGCAAATATTTCCCTGGTGTTCTGGCCACTGCTCAAGTACCTCCAAGCAGCAGGTACCAGTGTTCCATCTCTGTGTCACTGGGGTCACCACTTATATTCCCAGGTGAAATTCCACCTCAAGTCAATGAAGCTGTAAATGTTTATAACCAGAAGGAAACTTGATTTTTTTTGTGTGTGTCCTAGACATACTATGCCCCTAGATCAAAGTCTTAAAGTTCAAACTTGAAAAGGGAGAACATTTTCTAAGAAAATAAGTGCTGTGAAGAATAGTTTTTGCTACTCCAAACCTCTTTGCTCCTCATTTACTCACCCCATTACATGGAAACACCACTTTTCCCCCAATGCACTTCTTTGGTTGACCTTTCCAAATTCAGAAAATATTTAACGTGCTGCATTAAAATGATGAAATCCAATTTTTTTTGTGTATGATAACGTGATGGCTGGGCTTGGGATGACACCAGAGGAGATGTGTGTTCACAACATGCTCAGAGACAGACTCCCCCCGCAGAGTCAGGTTAAGAGTTCTGTTCCCACACAGACACTGCAGTCTCTGCTGGGGTGGTAAACACTCCTGTGGCACACACAGTGGGAACAGACAGGAATGTGGGGGCAGATAAAAGGTGTTCAAGAACAGCTGCTGAATTCCAGTAGCTACACCAGTAGCTAGCCTTGCCCATCAGCCCTTGGCTGACACAACCACGCTCCAGTGCAGGGCACAGGGGGCACACACAGGGCTGGGACACACCCAGGACATGCCTGAGCTCTGGCTGCCTTTGGGTGCCTTTGCAGTGCCAGGCTTTGCTCTGGGACCAGATCTGTGGTGTCACGGACTGACTGCAAGTGGTGACACAAGCTCAACACTGCCTGTATGGCTGCTCCTGCTGCTTCTCTGGACACTGCTCACAATGTACCCTTAACTCCCCTGGCACACAGCAGTGTTTCAAAGGAGCCAGCTTGTTGTGCCTGAAGTGCTGGGGACCCCTCTCCCCTCCAATGGGTGTCACAGCTTCCAAACCCTTAACAGTTTTCACATATAATTAGTTACCATAAAGACAGGGGGGGATCTCAGTGGAGATAAAACGTTCTACAACTGTTTGGACCTTTGCTCTTTCATCTGCCAGGTTTCCTTTTCAACAGGTTTTTCTTTAAATTTTGGTTATTTATCCACTTCAGGCTGTCAGGAATGGATGAAAAAATACTTTTAATCTGTGAGGCTTACAGATAATTAAATTAGAAGCCTTGGACTACTCTGAGAGGCTGTTTTATATTTTTGTTGCCTCAAAAGGAACATTTCAATTGTATTCCCTGTTTAGTAAACAAATTATAAACTGCCAGCAGACTCCACTGCAGCAAGTATCCAAAATGTGTCTTTTCAGAGACCACTGTGAAGTCAGCAAGTGTATGTTTACACTAAGTGATTTTTTTTAACCCCCTTTTCCAACACCTCCTCCCAAATCCCAGACCTACACTATCCTCTTACACTGAGCACAGGAGGAGCAATCAGGAAAGAATTTTCTTGCTATTTTACCTCTTCCTTAAAATCTCTCTGTGCTGACAAGCCAGATTTGACACAGGCTGGGATATGTTCTGCTACGTATTTCTTGCCTTTTCATTGTCTTTTGATGAAGGGTTACATCCATGTTCAGAATAAATTTGATTAATTTACAGAAACCCACTTGTCAGTTCCTGAAAATAACAGCTGGGACTGAAAGGGTTTTTGCAAGATGAACAGCAGGGATGCAGAAATACAT